GCTTGTACGTAAGCCACGCCATGAAAAGTGAGACACGTTGAATCCACTTGAAGTTAGATCGGGTTACCAGGACCTTCATCTCTCTGATTGTGAGATCATTCATCCACGGCGTTTGGTTGTAAGATAGTGGTGTTTCATCCTTTTCCGGTCGCTTCCACAAAAAAAAACCATATTGGTCAAATGCTTCTTCAATGCCCTCATCCATAGATGTTGGATGAATGCGAGACGATTTTTGAGAACTTAACCAGTACAAAATTCTTCAGTCTCCTCTATAGCATGGTTCATGCTAAGATCCCGGGAGGTTGCTGTTGGTGGGTAAAGCAATCTTTTTCCCATCAAATTATGTAAGCTGCAAAAATTCGGCGATATCGGGTGTCGCTAACCAGAGTTCTGTCTCACAATGAGCACACTTTTCCGCGATAGTAGTACAGTCAAGCATCTGGAAATCTGCCTGGTACATCGATATCCTAACAGCCAAATTGATCGCTAAGTTATCACCCGGACACCTGGAACAAGTCTGTGTGTCCGACGCGGTGAAAGCCCGTTAGACCTTCAACGTTTGAACGTGACGTCCTCCTGTATTCGCCTTTGTCTGACAATGAGAAAAGTCGCGTTTTGTGACGACGCATTTTGTGACGATCAAGAATGTCACTGATGTGAAAACTGCCGGGGACTAGGCCCCTGCCTTACAGCATCTTTGCTTTGATGGTTTAGATGATTTCTTTTTCGAGAACTCGTCCTGGTCTCGAACATGCATCTTGTGAAACCACATGGAAAGCTGTTTTCTTCTCTTTGATTGCAGAGAAATGCGACTCGAAGGCCAGAGTTGTATTGTGGAGAAAGTATTTCTATTTTACGAAATTCAATCACCCCGTGAGAGTGGTTTCAAATAGAAAAAATTGCTTCAAAGCGCTTGAATTGTTCTGATGGAACGCGTGGTTTACGCAAATATTCTGACTGTGGTTGTAACAGTAGTCCTAAATGTTAGAATCAAGTTTTGCCTCTAGGTTACTAAGTTATTGTAAGGCTGCTTCAGCTGACCTGATCCATATGAATGCTGGAAGAACATCATGGCTATGCCTCAAAGGCCGTTGGCACGATGGTTTCCTACTCGGTTTAAAATGCTAGCAGCGCGCTATTAGCAGCGCCGCTAGTGGGAAATGCGACAAGGAACGGAGTGACCGGGGTCGAATCCTGCCGAAGAAAAAAAGTCTCCGCTTCTTCAGTGGCACTGAAATCGATTGGACGAGTTCTCCACATCATTGCCATTCACCGCTACCGAAGATACGGCTGCATATGTATACCCATGTATCCGTGCGGCATCACGGCCGCTTCATACCAATCCCTTCGCTTCATAGTTTGCTCAGCAAATGAATGAATACGACGCGTCAGGAACGGTCGTCCATTTGTGGGCGGGCGGGCAGTGACAGGGCGTGTTCAGTCGGAATGCTTGTGGCTAGATCAGAGCGCCCTTATAAAGTGACGCTTACCATGAGAGGACCGCTTGTGCAGACGCCTGCTCTGGGTCGCGGAATTCCGTAGTGCCAGGCGTCTTGATCCTAGTCGTCTTGGGGAATTTATCGTGCCAACTGCCTTTAATATTGCGTTGCGAGCCTTTTGGATCCGAATGTAAAAAAACACAAAGAGGCCGCCAGAACTCATTGTTGCAAAAGCTCCGAAGATTACCAAGAATTTTGCAAAAATCTTTTTCAAAACATCGAAAAAAATGGATAAAACAGAAATAACCTTTTGCGAAACTTTTCGGTTTTTTTTGGAGCTTTGGAGTCTTTTGCGTTTTTTTTTTCAGTGAAATATGGAATGGTAAAATCCAGTAAGGAAAATCCGAAAGTACCAATTAGTTTTCAGGAAAGCCCTGCTGCTTATGAAATTCTCGAGTCTAGAGTGCTTGTTGGGTGACTTCTCGCTGAGTCTTTTTCGAGTGACTTGAAACCAGTTAAATAAATGGTATTTGAGGCGTGAATATTTATTACGTCTTTACGATGCGCCATGCTGTCGACTTTTATTCGCTACTGTAGATGTCAGGACGACCTGGGTTGCTGTAATGCATATATGTAGTACTAAGGCATTTTTACATAGCGTTTTCTTCCTCTCAGTGTTGGCCCAAATTATGAGTGTTTTATTACTGGGAAAGTCTCTTTATACGCCTTGATCTACGGAGTCCAATAGTAGTTCTAGAAGTGGCAACAAGTCTCCAGTAAGTGCTCTCTTTCGTTCGATTTACAAGTAGCGTTGTCATCTTTTTTGTTAGTGGGGGGGAGGGGACTAAGGCGATAAACTGGGCGGAATATTAGTATCGCAGATTGCTTGGTCTATCTAATGCTTTGCGCACAACACTGCACAGTAACATTCAGTCCACAGCTGGTGCCGTGCGCACATCGAATTGTTTGAAGGCCAGCTCAGACTGTAGGAACCGTCTGAACTGGAACTGGATCGAAATTTCACACTCTTTTTCTGATCGCATGTATGTAATTGATGTTTTATGGGAGTGAAGTTCCAATACTTTAAGAGCAGAGCACACGTCAATTTTTTTCTGAATTGCCAACGTGAAATGGCACTAAATGTCAATGTCATGTCGTTCTATGGGAAGTGCTAACGAATGTAAATGTCAGATGTTTGAAAGATCATCTGACAGTGGCAGACACGTTCTATACAAAGTCTATACTACATCATGTATTGGAGGCACCTACTCGGATACTTTTAGAATCGACAGCATGTTTGCACGAAACCATGTGTTTTACAGGCGAGGCGTAACTGGAATGAGTTAGCGCGAGCGTCATTCATGTGCATCCCTTTTCTGTGACTCAGTTCGTTCCATAGTTGCCTAGACAGCAGCAACATAGAACGTAATTATTCCAGTGAAGTAGTTATTATTTGGACTGAACATAAAACGCGCTTGGAATTTGCGGAATAGAGCTCACTGCGTAGTCAGGTTAAAGCCGGTCCACGATCACGTATAGAAGTTGAAAATACGGCGTTGCGAGGGTGGTGGGGTTCACGACAAACAACGTGGTACCGGTTTCAAGGCAAAAGAAATGTAAGAAAGGGGCACTATAGCACAATACAAGTTCAGTGATGCCTCTTTTTCCCCCCAGTGACTCCGCCTCCAGACTCCGCCCTCAAGGTGCACCTTTCAGTGAGAAAACGAAGCTGCAGGACGAAAAAGCATGAAAATCGTCACTTGTACGGTCGTAGAGTTCTTATCGGGGAATCAGCTGTGCGGATGAGAGCGTAATGTAGGAGATGGAGTTCATTGCGCAAGTACAAACTGTTATGAGAATGGCTTTCTATCTAGAGCAATTGCCATGTATTTTTTCCTGCTTTTTTTCTTCACCACCGAGTTGCTCAGCACGTTATCGTCTATGCAAACGGCCTAATCCACTATCTGTGATGGCGAATGATCGCGGGTTTTGCCTTTGAAGGGGTTTTCGGAAAGTGAATCCAAACACAGTGTTACAGTAAG